AGGTCAGCCTGGGAGGATGAACTGCTGCCAATGGGGACAATTAGTGGATCCAATGTTTTGGTTGTGAGGAGAAAGGAGGTAAGCAGGCAGATGTTACATCTGCGATTGCATGGGAAGCAGCTGTCGGTGTGTGGGGCAACAGAGACAATGGTACTGAAAATGGCTAACAAGGGAGGGAGGGGAATATCTATCTGGTGGCAGCATCCTGCTAGATGTGGTAGAAATGGCAGCTGTGCTTTGGGTGTGGATTTTGGAGGGATGGCAGGTGAGGACGAGGGAAAAGAAGGGGTGAGGGCTGAAGTACAGGAGATGGATCAGACACAGCTGAGGGCCCTGCAACCATGGTGGTGCAGAATCATCAGCTGAGAAAGAAGGTGGACCTATTGTTGAATTTGACATCATTGGAACAGATGTGATGGAGACAGGGGAACTTGGAGAATGGAATAGAGTCTTTACAGAAAGCAGAGTGTGAAGATGTATAATCAAAGTAACATTGGGAATCAGTGGGTTGTAGTGGACTTTGGAATATCCCAGGAAATTGAAACAGAGATGTTGAGGAAGAGAAGGGAGGAGTCAGAAATAGTATCATGGGGAAGTTTGCTACAACTGTTAATTTTCTTCTACAAAGTTGTTAATCTTAACTAGTTATGCACTTCATTAACATGTAGTACACAGCTTAAGATTATGTCAGCATTGAAGAGACATTTGCTGGAAACATTGATTTTATTTGTGCAAACTTGCTTATCTGATCAGGTTATGCACTATATAAAAATTATAAGACTATATCAGTATTTTGGAGAAGTTTGCTGGAAACAAGCACGGTGGGTCAATGATTAGCACTGCTGCCTCACAGGGCCAGGGCCCTGTATTCAATTACAACCTCAGGCAAAGGTTGCTTGTTCTCCCCATGTCTGCATGTGATTCTTCCTAATTATCCAATTTCTTCATATAGTCCACAAATGTGCAGGTTAGGTGGATTGGCCATACTGAAACTGTCCGTAGTGTTCAGGGATGTGTCAGTTTAGGTGGATAGCCATGGTAAATGAGGAGTTACAGGATACGGTAAGAGGCTGAATTTGGGTGCAATGCTCGTTGCAGGGTTGGTGTGGACTCAATGGGCCAAATGGCCTCCTTCCATACTGTAGGGGTTCAATGGTTCTATGTTGATTTTCGAATGTGAAGTTGTTTATCTCACTGTGTTATGCACTTTATTAACAAATACAACAGATTAAAAGAATATTTCAGCACTTTGGAGAAGTTGGCAAGAATTGTTGATTTTGAGTTGATTTGATTTTGATTTTGTTGTCATGTGTACCGAAATACAGTGAAAAACTTTGTTTACGAGCGGTACAGGCAGATCACAGCAAGCAAAGGATGCACAGAGCAAAAAGACTTAGAGGCATCCAGAGTACATTATTTGAGGCTAGAATTCATTCAGCATTCCGATAACGGCCGGAAAGAGACTGTTCCTGAACCTGCTTGTGTGTGCGCTCAGGCTTCTATATCTTCTACCTGATAGAAGAGGTTGTAGGAGGTCATTACCAGGGTGTGATGGGTCTTTGATGGGGTTGGCCGCCTTTCCAAAGCAGCAAGCCATGTAAATAGAGTCCATGGATAGAAGGTTGGTCTGGGCTGTGCAGTCCACCATGTGTAGTTTCTTACAGTCCTGGACAGAGCAGTTGCCATGCCAGGCTGTTATGCACCTAGACAGTATGCTTTGAATGGTGCATCTGTAGAAGTTGGTGAAGGACCTTATGAACATGTCAAATTTCCTGAGCTGCCTAAGGAAGAAGAGGCATTGTTATGCCTTCTTCGCTGTTGTATTTGTCGGGAAGTCCAGGACAGGTTGTCGGTTATCGTCACTCCGAGGAACTTGATGCTGTTCACTCTCTCAGCCTCAGTTCCATTGATGTAGATGGGGGCGCATTCTCCACCTATCTTTCTGAAGTTGATGATGAGTTCTTTAGTTTTGCTGACATTGAGAGAGAGATTGTTTTCATTGCACCATGTCAATAAGCCCTCTATCTCCCTTCTGTATTTTGACTTGTCGTTGTTAGATATCCGCCCCACTACGGTGGTGTTGTCAGTGAACTTGTAGATGACGTTTATTTGGAATTTGGCAACACAGTAGTAGATTAACAGGGAGTACAGTACGGTAAGTGGCTGAGGATGCATCCTTGCAGGGGGGGCTTCAGTTTTGAGTATTATTGTGAAGGTGGTGCAGTCGTCTAACCTCACTGATTGTGGCCTATGGGTCAGAAAGCTGAGGATTCAGTTGCAGAGGGAGGAGCCGAGACCGAGGTCACGCAGTTTTGAGATCAGTCTGGAGGGATAATAGTGTTGAAGGTGGAGCTGTAGTCAAAGAATAGGAGTCTGACATAGGTGGCTTTGTTGTCCAGATGTTCCAGGGATGACTGCAGGGCTAGGGATATGGCATCCTCTGTGGACCCGTTATGTCAGTAGGCAAACTGTAGTGGATCGAGGCAGGTTGGGAGACTGGAGTTGATGTGGGCCATGACCAGCCTCAAAGCAGAGCTATTGGGTGGTAGTCATTAAAGCACACTACATATGTTTTCTTGGGTATGGGGATGATGCCTTTCTTGTGCAAGCTTGCATAACTCAAGGGTTATGCACTTTAGTTACAGATACAACAAATTATAAGAACGTGCTAGTACTTTGTAGGAATTTGGTGATAGTGGAGATTTTGACATGCCAAGGTGTTTATCTCACTGAGATATACACTGTGGGAGCATCCTGATCAGATTTTAAAAAGTTCGAAAGAATTGGATGTTTTACTATTCAAAGTTGCTTATCTCATTGAGATATGCACTTTAGTAAGATCCTCATTAGTTTTTAAGACATTTGATTGCATTGAACGTTTTACTGTAAAAGTTGCTTATCTCACTGAGGTATGCACTTGATCCATATATGCATATGGCCCATGTCAGGTTTTAAGAAGTTTGATTGACTTAGAGACTTTGATATGGTCATGTGCTTATATCTGTGAGATTGCACTTTGGAATGTTCAGCATCAGATTTTAAGGTGTTTGATTGACTTAGAGATTTTGATGTGCCAAAGTGCTTATCTCAGTAAGAGAATTAGCATCAGGTTGATAGAATGTTGGGGATAATGGAGATTTTGCTGTGACAAGGTGATTACCCCACTGAGATATGCATTATACCGCATGACTTTTCAAAATGTTTGATTGAATTGAATGTTTTGCTTTCAAAGCTGCTTGACTCACTGAGAAATGCACTTTAGTATGATTCTCATTAGATTTTAGGAAAATTAGTTGCATTGAATGTTTTACTGTTCAAAGTGTCTTGTCTCAGTGAGATATGCACTTGTGGGGACATCAGCATCAGGTTTAACGAATTTTGGCGATAATGGAGATTTTGATGTGCCAAGGAATTTGCCCCACTGAGATATGCTTGCATATGCTGCTTATCTCACTGAGATGTGAAATTTGGTATGGTTCTCAATAGATTTCAAGACACTTAATTGCATTGAATGTTTTGCTGTTGGAAGTTGTTTATCTGTTTGAGATATGCAGTTTAGTGTGGTCCTCATTAGATTTTCAGAGGTTTGATTGAATTAGACTTTTCAAAGTTGCTTATCTCACGAGATATGCACTTTACTAAGATCTGCATCAGAGATTAAAAGGTTTGATGGACTTGGGGATTTTTTTGTAACTGTGTGCTTACCTCACTGAGATATGCACTTTAGTATGATCTACATCAAATTTTAAGAAGTTTCATGGCCTGAGATATTTTGATGCATATCCCACTGAGATATTCACTGTAGGAGCATCTGCATCAGATTTTAAAAAGTTTGATTGAATTGAATGTTTTGCTGTTCATAGTTCCTTATCTCACTGAGATGTGCACTTTAGTATGATCTACATAAGATTTTAAGAAGTTTCATAAACTTTGAAGAACTAATTTGCTTATTTCACTGAGATATGCACTGCAGGTACATCTGCATCAGATTTTAAAAAGTTTGATTGAATTCGATGTTTTGCTCTGCAAAGTTGCTCATCTCACTGAGAAATGCACTTTAGTATGATCCTCTTTAGATTTTAAGAAGCTTGACGGAATTGGATGTTTTGCCATTGAAAGCTGCTTATCTCACTGAGATATGCACTATACTATGATCTGCATCAGATTTTAAGAGTTTTGATGGATGTAAGGATTTTTATGTGGCAATCTGCTTATCTCACTGAGAATATGCACTTTCATATGATCTGCATAAAATTTTAAGAAGTTTGATGGACTTAGAGATTTTGATGTGTCAGTGTGCCTCTCCCTTTGAAGATATGGACTGTAGGGATAGCTTCTTCAGATTTTAAAAAAAGTTTGATTGAATTTGACGTTTTGTTGTTCAAAGTTGCTTATCTCACTGATATATGCAATTTAATATTAGCCTCATGAGATTTTAAGATCCAAACTTCTGAGTAAGGGTCACGGACCCAAAACATTAACTCTGAATTACCTTCACACGTGCTGCCAGACCTTTTGAGCTTTTCCAGCAACTTCTGCTTCTGACTCTGGTTTATACCATCCACAGTTCTTTGGATTTTATTTAGATTTTAAGAAGTTTGATTGAATTGAATGTTCTGCTGTTCAAAGCTGCTTGCCTCACTGAGATATGCAGTTTAGCATGATCATCATTAGATTTTACAAGAATTGATTGCATTGAATATTTTGCTGGTCAAAGTTGTTTATCTCACTGACATATACACTTTAGAATGTTCTGCATCAGATTTCAAGAGGTTTAATTGACTAAAAGATACCCCCTTTGATTCTACTGACACCCCTCAAAGAGAATCACCCAAAAAACTTAAAGATACCACTGGGAGTCTCTCGGGTATTGGAGGAGATTGTGGGGAAATGGCTCATATTAACAGCCTGTTGGCAACTGCACTTTATAAAAGAGAAAACAACATACACATCTAGAACAAAACCAGAATTGAAATTAAGGATCATATATGCCATGGTGGTTATTTATTGTCTACTTCTCCTGTTTCGCAAAATGTCCATTTGATATGGGAGGCATGAATCCAGGCTTTCTTTCCCTGGACCTTGACAGCTAACTGGGTGATCAGTAGTGCTTGTTATGATCCCTCCCACTTCGCATCTAATGGTTCCTTGTGGACCTTCTTCACAAGCACCCACTCGTGTAGCACGATGTCATGCCCTCCCTCTGCGGGGTCTGTCCAGATGGCCGATACCTGTGAGGAAGCAGAACTTACAGCATCGGTTAGTGCTTGACAGTAGGACAATAGGGCGCCACTCACGAGATGACAGTCTGCCCTCTGCAGGTCTATTGTTCCTGGTAGGGACATTGATCTCCCTGTCACTATTTTAAACCAAAATGCATAAAAAGGCACTATAACTGACCAGGGTGGGAAAAAGCAGAATAGAAACGTGGTAGTAATAGGGGACTCAATGATCAAGAAAATAGATAGCATCCTGTAAAGCCACACACAAGAATCCCAAAGGCTGTGTTGTCTAGCTAGTACCAGAGTATGGCATATCTCAGCAGCTGTACAGGAACTCAGAGGGAGAGAATAAATACACTTCATGTTATCCATACTGGAACAAATAACATTTAGAGAGGAACTCCTCCCCAAAATGAGGAAGTAGTCTCTAAATAGAATGGTATAAGAGGGAGGTGCCGAAAAGGGATCCACAAGAAATGCAAGCAACTCAAATGTAGATACAACAGAACAGAACAGATAAACATAGGGAAGACATTGATGACAAGGAAATACAATTATAGACCCAGAGTTTAATAAGATGGCTAAAGTAAAAAATGAGTTAAATTAGTTAAAATTCATTACAACAACACAATGTACATAATCAAACAGCAGGTCAGGAGGCAATCATCTACTGGAAGGAACCAGATATAGTAGGAATTACTGAGACATGGATAAGTAATAATCAGGACAGAGTGAAAAATGACAGACTAAGACTCTCTTAGAAAAGACTGAGATAAGGGACAGACAGCTGGAATACCAATGCTTCTTAGAATCACATTATGGGTGTGGAAAGAAAAAACAGGATAATAGAGTCCTTACAGATTGAGAAAAGATAATAAAGGATACATTACACTAATAGGTGTCCCTTACAGACTACCTATTTGTAGAAGGGAGGGGGAGGAAAAAATATGTAAAAGAGTAAAAAGAACTCCAAAATAATCATGGGGAATTTTAACTGCTCCACTCTTAACCGTACAGAAGAAGGGGTGAGAGGGGATAAGAGAACAGAGAAACTATAGTGCTTGATTCCTACTCATCAAATATGTAAAAACTTCAACACAGGAAGATTCATTGATGGGGAACAAATTAGTGCAAAGAACAGAAACTGAGGAACATCTAGGCAACAATGACTGTAACATAACATTCTTCTGTTGATATATTAGAGTGGATAAAAATATGACAAAAACCAAATTAGTAGATTGGATAAAATCTGATTTTGAGAGCTGAGAATACAACTTGGGAAAATAAATGGGCAACTATTTTGGCAAACTGTTATTTAGAGGAACATTTAAATAGTGTTCAGAGTGCAGGAAAAATGTATTTTGCTAAAAGGAATGAACATACAAAGGGAACAACTGAGCAGTAGAAAAAAAAATGTGTATATTAAGAATGTAGATGGCAGTGAAATACAGGGTAATAGATTGAGATGAAATTTAGAGAGAAGTCAAATAATTAGGTAGGCAAAGAGAAATGATCAAGGAACGTGAAACTAAACAGTGAAATACTTTACAGGTACATCAGTGTAAAATAGAAGATGGTGACGGAAATAAGACCGTTAAGGACATAGTAAACCAAAAGGTAATGACAGGATGAGTAGAAATTTTGAGTAACTATTTTGTTTCTATGGTTACCGAATGGATAAAATGGGTAGACTTGAACAAGATGAACAAGAAGATAACGCACAAAGTTTTTTTTTAAAAATGCATTTATCAATCCGAACAAAGTTGATAAAACCCTAATAGATAGAGTCATCCTGCACTGAAACAGGCCCTTTCAGCCAAACTCAGCCTTCCCGACCAAGTTTCCTAATCTAAACTAGTCACATTTGCCTGTTTTTGGCTCACATCCTTCTAAAGCTTTCCTATCCATGTACCTATCCAAATGTCTTTTGTACCCACCTCTACCACATCCTCTGGCAGCTTGTTCCATATACTCACCACCCTCTGTGTGAAAATGTTGCCCCTTGGGTTAGTTTTAAATTTTTCCCCTCTCAGCTTAAACCTGTGCTGTCTGGTTTGAACTGCCCACCCTAGGGAAAAGACCTTGGTTAATCACCTTATTTATGCCCCTCATGATTTTGTAAATCTTTATAAAGATATAATAACTGGTTGGATAAAGTTGTAGAGTCAGCAGTGTCAGACAGGTAATGCATTTCCTATTTTTGAGAAACTGAAACTATCAAGGAATGTGAAACTAAACAGTGAAATACTTTTACAGGTACATCAATGTAAAATAGATGATGGTAACAGAAATAAGACCATTAAGGACATAGTAAACCAAAAGGTAATGACAGGACAAGTAGAAATTTTGAGTAACTATTTTGTTTCTGTAGTTACCAAGTGGATAGAATAGGTAGACTTGACATTGGTTGATAAGATGAGCTAGAAGTTAATGCACAAAGTTTAAAAAATAAATGCATTTAACAATCTGAACAAAGTTGATAAGATCCTGGTAGATAGAGTCATCTAGCACCAAAATAAGCCCTTTCAGCCGAACTCGGCCTTGTCGACCAAGTTTCCTAATCTAAACTAGTCACATTTGCCCACTAAGGGAATGACCTTGACTATTCGCCTTATATATGCCCCTCATGATTTTTTAAACCTTTCTCAAGGTATAATAGCTGGTAGGATAAAGTTGTAGGGCCAGAGTAGTGTCAGATAGGTAACATAATTCCTATTTTTGAGAAAGGCAACAGAATGTGCCCAGAAACTATAGAGGAGTAGGCTTAACATCAATTTTAGGACAAATTCCTGATTTCGTTTATTTTGTTAAAAGATGGGAAAATAGACCATTTCGAAATTAGAAATAACAATAAATAATCCAGCATGAATTTGAATTATTTTTTGCAGAACTAACATTAATAGCTCTGTTTGTCTTAATTCTCACCGTTTCCCAATAGCCCAAATGTTTTGTTTTCAAACAATTACTCAATTTCCTTACGAAATTGACAACTGAATAAATTACCACCGCACTCCTTAGACAATACCTTCTAAATCTGCAACTTCTACTACCTAAAAGAACAAGGATAGCATAAGAAAGGAAACCACTTGTACATTTCCCTCCAGACGACAACCATCCTGACTGACAACTACATGGTATATCTATATAAACTGCAGTAGTACAAGAAAATGGTACACCATCACTTTCCCAAGATCATCCCACGAAAAAGAATTGTACTTTAATGTGGAGGAAAATGGTAGTGAGGCAAAAAATAAAGTGATCAGATAATCTGAAAACTGGGAAGCAGGAGCTTACCAACCTTTACCTAGCCTATCAATAAAAATGACTGGTTAAAATGCATTACAGGGAGCTGATAACAATCCAGTTAAATAGCATTAACAGTTACAGTCATTGAGTCATAGTAATACAGCATGGAAACAGGCCATTCAGCCCAAACTAGTCCATGCTGACCATTCTGCCCACTCATTTGGCCTGCATTTGGTCCATATCCCTCTAAACCCTTCTCATCCGCATACCTATCGAAATGTTTTTTAAGCGTTGCTATTGTACCTGCCTCAACCACTTTCTCTGGCAGCCCAATCCATATATGCATCAGACATTGCTCCTCAGGTCCTTCTTAAATCTATCCCCTCTCACCTTAAACCTATGCCCACTCATTTTCAATTCTCCATCCCTGGGAAAAAGATTGTATGCATTCATCCTATCTATGCTGTTCATGATTTTATACACCTCAATAAGGTCACTCCTCATTCTCCTATGTTCCAAGGAATAAAGTCCTCTCCTCGCCAATTTCTCCATAAAGCTCAGGCCTACTCATCTGGCAACATCCTTGCATGTGTTCTTTGCATACTTTCCAGTTTAACTATGTTTTCCTATAACAGGGTGACCTCACCAACGACTTATACAACTGTAGCATAACATCCCAGTTCCAAATCTCAGTGCCTCTACTAATGAACACCAGCATGCTAAATGCCTTGTTTAACACCCTGTCCACCTGTGCCGCCGCTTTCAATGAACTATATACTTGAACTCCTCGGTCCCTCTGATCCACAACACTTCTCAGGACCTTACTATTTACTGTATAAATCCTACCTTGGTTTGAATTCCCAAAGTGCAACACCTCACACTTATCTGTATTGAATTGCATTTGCCAATCCTCAGCCCACTTGCCCATCTGATTAAGATCCCTCTGTAATTTTTGATAACCTTCTTCCCTATCAACGATACTTCCTAATTTTGGGGTTGTTCTGGGGAAGAGAGTCAATTGGACTCAAAACATTAATTCTGTTTCTCTCTCCACAGATGCTGCCAGATCTGCTGAGATCCTCCAGCAGTTTATATTTAAATTAGATATCCAGTATTTCACTTATTAACAATTATGGTGCTCTCTTTTAATTTGTCAACTTAGTCCATAAACGTGGAACTTGTCCAACCCCGTCTGTGTAACAAAGATGCAAGATGACATATCAGTACTGGATACAAACCAGAAGGAAGCACAAGCTTCATTGTTTCCTCATTATATTCCAAATTCTTGGTTGGTACATCTGCAGCTTTCATTTCAATATCTTCCCCATCTTTGTGATCAGGATAATCAACCCTCTGTGCACAGAGAAGAAAATAAGAAAGTTAGCAAATATATTTAGAATAGTCTCTTGTACTGGAATGTGATTTGATTTCACTGTTAGTCTTTCTACTTTGCTAATAAAATACATAGAAATGACAGAAAGCAGATATTTACAGGGTAGTTTATTCATCTTGCCATTTTCAACACTTTTCAAGCCCAGTTATCCTGTTTTAATTTCTATAGTGACTATGCTCTGTGTAAGTATGTTTGACAGGTGAGAAGATGGAATATTGTGATTTAGGCCTTAACTGATTATGTTTTGTTAGACTTCTTTGACACCACGTGGGCCAATGGTTAGAAGGATAATACTTTTAAATAGAAATCGTTAAGTGTGTGAAGACAAAGCTTGCTATTTGGGAATAGGAAACAAAACACGCGGGAGGTGCAGAAATTCAAAGCAGGACAAAAAACCTTAGCCTCAAGGTTACTGTTGGCCAGACACTATTTGTTCTCATCACCCATTAATATGTTCAAGGTACTTGCAGAAGGGGACAAAATGTTGGAGATGGAATGGTAGTTGCAAAGATATAAGGGTTAAGGGTGGAATTACAGCTGAAGGAAGGATAGATAGCGTCTGAAGCAATTAGCCATTATAATGTCAGCAATCACAGGGAGCTGAAGTGGATATTAATGGGCATAAGAACATGAGAAACAGGAACATAAACGAACCATACACAGCCAATCAATTCTGCATGCCTTCCAAAAAGATCATGGCTGATCTTGTATTTCAATCGACTCCACTCTGGTCCCCTATCCCTGGGTTTACAGGGACACCACAAATCAGTCCATATTGGCCTCAAACATATTCAATGTTGGTCCATCCAGGGTAAAGAATTCCAAAGAATCTCAACCATTTTGGAGAAGAAATTTCTCATTTTAAGTCTTAAGTCATCAGCCCCAAACCTAAAATTTTGTCCCCTTGACTTAGATTTCCCACCCATGGAAAACGTCTCAGTTTCTGCTCCGTCAAGTCTGATCATAATCTTAATCATTCCCAATTTTTCAAACCCTTACAGCATATACACAATTTAATCAGCTTTTCTTCATAGTACATAGTGTTTTCATCCCTGGAAAGGACTTAGTGAACCTTCACTGTATTTATGGTTCTTGAGTAGATTTGTAGCTCGGGTTGTGGATGCTGCGGTTGGTTCGCTCGCCGAGCTGGTTCATAGTTTGCAGACATTTCATTACCCTGCTGGGTAACATCATCAGTGCAGCTTCCTATGAAACCTACATCAACCCTACGCCAACTATTAACAAGAACCAAAGACCCTTTACCCACTATGAACAGAACCAATGTAATAAACAAGATTCCATGCAACAACTGCAACAAACATTACATTGGACAGACAGGAAGAAAATTGGCTATGCGAATACATGAACACCAACTAGCAACAAAAAGACATACCAATACTCACTCATCTCCACACATACAGACAAGGGGAACCATCGGTTTGATTGGGACAATGTCAGGATCCTAGGACAAGCCAAACAGAGACAAGCATAGGAATTTCTAGAGGTCTGGTTCTCTACCAAAAAGGCCATCAATAAACAAATATATACACACCACTGCAAAGAAAAACCGGAAATGAGGTAATCAACTTCAACAGACCCCAGAGTTTAAATAGCAAGCGGGAAAATACATCGGAGGCTGCACTGCTGATGTTACCCAGCAGGGTAATGAAACGTCTGCAAACTAATGAACCAGCTTGGCGAGCAAACCAACCACAGCCTTCACTGTACTGTCTCCAAAGCAGTTATATTGTTCCTTAAATACAAAACCCAAATTGAGCACAGTATTCCAGGTGTAGTTGCCTCAAAGACCTGTAAATTTGTAACAATACTTGCTTACTCTTTTATTTAAGTCCCCTTGCAAATAAAAGGCTAAACATTTCAGGAGAATGGGAAGCCACAGCAGAAGTTAACGGGATGTGTACCAACTTTAGAAAAATAAGGTGATTACACAAGGTTTAAAGTGCATGCGACAGCAGGTTGAGAGTCAAAGAGATGGACGAACCAGTTAAAAAAAAGCAATAAGAAGCAGAGGAATCTGCCAAAGCAGCTGAACAAATCACCCTGAAGAAGAAATTTTCAAGATCCCCACACTTTCTTGTTTGAGAAAAGCAAGAGCAGGGGAATTCTTTTTTAAAGGAGTGCTTTTAGCAAAAAGAAGCCCAGACTTCTGTCTGCCAAACAAGATGATTGCTGAGTTGTCAAGGGTGACTTGACAGAGTTAAGTCAGGTTCAACATAGAATGACAAGATCAAGATAATTATAGGTATCCTCCAAGTTTGTTCCTCTTGCTCAGAACAGCATAGATGGGTAAATAATGGAAGGGAAACAATGGACGATAGGCAAAGATTATCTGGGGATAAGATCATCAAATCAAATGAGAAAGCATGCCTGTCCTATGACCTGTGCTGAGCTTCCCAAAGTGAGGGTCATGACCCTAAATAGTAAAAAGTGAAATCATGGGGTCCCACGTTTTGCAAGAGTACGCTGTAGACATAGCTTTACACAACAGCTACACTGTTTTGGCTACTATTGTGGGAGATATCCTGTGAGAGGAAAATAGCAACAGCCAAATTTGTTGCACCACAGCTGGCTGTGCTGCACACAAGAGGAGTTATAAGTGTGGGAATGACATCATAATTGGTGAGATGGTCAATTTTAAGGGAAATAGACAGACATTTCTGTGGCTACAAGCAAGACTCAGATGATATGTTACTTCCTAGGTGCTAGCTTCAAGGATGTCTCAAGAGTGGCTGCAGGATATTCTGGAGTGGGAGGGTAAACAGCCTGTTAGTGGGATAAACGTCAGTACCAACGAGATTGGTAATCAAAGCAATGAGATCCTAAAAGCAGGATATAGGGAGTTAAAACGCAAGTTAAAAAGTAGGCCTCAAAGGTAGTCAAAGTAGAAATGGCAAGTTTTATGGGATGAGTATTTGGATCGAGATACGTTGGACAAAGGGGAAGGGTTTCAGTTTAGTGGGACATGGTTCTGGACAAGGTGGAACCAGTACAAGCCAGATAGGCTGCACCTAGACAGCACCAGAAGTGAGATCCTAGGGGGAGTATTCGCCAGTGTGATTAGAGATGGTTTAAGCTAAAGTGGCAGGGGGCTGGGAACTGACTGTGAATGCAACTTGCCAAATTTCTTTGGATTCCACGGGCTCTTACCTTTGTTATTAGTCTCCGTGCAGGACCTTATGGAACATAGAACATAGAACAGTACAGCACAGTACAGGCCCTTTGGCCCACGATGTTGTGCCGAACTTTTACCCTAAACCTAAGGTCTATCTAACCTCCACCGCTACCTTCTACAATCATCCATATGCCTATCTAATAGCCACTTAATTGCCCCTAATGAGGCCGACTTCACTACCCTCTCCAGCAATGCATCCCATGCCCTGACCACTCTCTGAGTAAAGAACCCACGTCTGACGTCTCCCCGATATCTACCTCCTTTCACTTTAAAACTATGTCCCCTCGTAAAAGCTACCTCCACCCTAGGAAAAAGTCTCTGGCTGTCTATCTATACCTCTGATCATTTTGTACACCTCTATCAAGTCACCTCTCATCCTTCGTCATTCTAAAGAGAAAAGCCCTAGCTCTCTCAACCTTTCCTCGTAAGACCTTCCCTCCATTCCAGGCAACATCCTGGTAAATCTCCTCTGCACCTTTTCTAACGTTTCCACATCTTTCCTGTAATGAGGTGACCAGAACTGGACACAATACTCCAGATGTGGCCGAACCAGGCTTTTGTATAGCTGGAGCATAACTTCACGGCTCTTGAACTCAATCCCTCTATTAATGAAAGCTAACACACCATACGCCTTCTTAACAACTCTATCCACCTGGGTGGCAGCTCTCAGGGAACTGTGAACATGAACCCCAAGTTCCCTCTGCTCCTCCACACTGCCAAGAATCTTTCCGTTAACCCTGTATTCTGCTTTCAAGTTTGTCCTTCCAAAATGAATCACGTCACAGTTTTCAGGGTTAAACTCCATCTGCCACTTCTCAGCCCAGCTCTGCTTTCTATCAATGTCCCTTTGTAACCTAGAACAGCCCTCCGCACTGTCCACAACGTGACTCACCTTCGTATCGTCCACATGTTGAAAGCCTTGCTGAGTTCCAAGAAACCTGTATCAAAAACACTGCCCTTGTCTGCACACCTGGTCAGCTCTGAAAAATTTAATAAAGTTTGTCAGACAAGACCGCCCCTTAACGAAACTATGCTGACTGTTCTTGGTTAATCCCTAATAAAAACCAAAAGAACTGCGGATGCTGTAAATCAGGAACAAAAACAAATTTGCTGGAAAAGCTCAGCAGGTCTGGCAGCTCTGTGGAGGAGAAAACAGAGTTAACATTTCGGGTCCGGTGACCCTTCCTCAGAACTTCTGAGGAAGGGTCACCGGACCTGAAACGTTAACTCTGTTTTCTCCTGCACAGATGCTGCCAGACTTGGTTAATCCCTGCCTCTCCAAATACAAGGTCAGAAATCACACAACACCAAATTATAGTCCAACAGGTTTATCTGAAATTGTAAGCTTTCAGAGCACTGCTCCATCGTCAGGTGAAGTCTCTCCAAATGCAGACTCATTCTGTCCTTCAGGTTAGAAAGACTGGCCTACAGTTTCCTGATTGATCCCTTGCTGAGTTCTTGAATTAAGGTACCACACCGCTGTCCTCCAGTCTTCTGGCATCTTTGTAAGTGCAAATTATACTGTAACAATACCCTTATTCCGAATGTAAATGAGAGATACCTGTACTGAGAAAAGTTTCCAGGTTTTCAGTGAAATGTAAAGCAGATATTTGTTTGGATAAAATGTATGCAAAATTCCTTTCAGTGGAGTAAATACACTTAATGCTATTTATGACAGTTATAACTTATTCAGGTACTTTGATAACTCTCTGTTGTCATCATTATTGAAACAAAAGGAGGTTTTGTTTTGGAAATTATGACCATTAAGTTTTGCTCGCAAGCAGGTTGCTTTCTTGTGCATTCACCATAGAAAGAGACAAAGAGACAACACACTGAACTGGAAATAAAGACACACAGAAGATCAACATACTGAACTGGAACAGGGAGAGACCAATTGACACCACATTGAACTGGGAATGAATACAGACAGTGAGACAATATACTAAACTGGGAATAGAGGGAGATAAACTGACAACACACTGACCTGGGAAGTGAGAGGGACAGAGAGTGTGAGTGTGTTGTCTCGTCACTCTCTACTCCTAGTTCAGTGTATTGTCACTCCATCTCTCTGCATTCGTAGTTCAGTGTATTGTCACTCTGTCTCTCTGTATTGCCAGTTCAGTATGTTGTCTCTGTGCCTCTATTCCCAGTTCAGTCTGTCTCCATCCCTAGTTCAGTTTGTTGTCTCTCTGTATTACCAGTTCAGTGTGTTTTCATCTTTTGTCTCTATTCCGAGTTCAGTGTGTTGTCTCTTTGTCTCTCTGCATTCCCAGTTCAATGTGTGGTCTGTCTATCTCTCTCTAATTCCAAGAGGGTGCAAGGTGACCACTTCTCCCTACATACTATCCAGGAGACTTGCAGTCTCGTGAATGCTTTACAGTGTCCCCAGCTACTACTCCAATTCAAAAAAAACTAACTTCTGGGAGAAACGTCTTGCACATGTTTTGATCCTGGGCACTGCCCAACCTTTCCCACAGAGCAGGAAGAGCACATCTTGAGCTGTTTTCTCTGATTGATTGTCTCTCGCCTTTCCGAGATCAGTGTGTTCTCTGATTGTCTCTCACCTTTCCAAGGTCAGTGTGCTGTCACACTGTATCTCTGCATTGTCAGCTCTGTGCCTTCTCGCTCTTTTTTCCCTCTCTGCGTTGCCAGTTCTGTGTGTTGCCACTCTGTCCCTCTCTGTACTGCCAATGTGGGAATGCCATCGTAATTGGTGAGGTGGTTAATTGTAAGGGAAATAGATAAATATTTATCTATGGCTACAATCAAGACTCTAGGATGAAATGTTATCTCCTGGTGCTAGGGTTGAGATGTCTCAAGAGTGGCTACAGGACAGTCTGGAGTGGGAGGATAAACAGCCAGTTATTGGGATAAACATCAGTACCAACAAGACAGATAATAAAATGGGATGAGATCCTAAAAGCAGGATAGAGTTAGAATGCAAGTTAAAAAGTAGGCCTCAATGGTAATCAAAGTAGAAATAGCAGGATTTATCAGATGAATACATGGATGGAGATATGTTGGACAAAGGGGGAGAGTTTCAGATTTGTGGGACATGATTCTGGAGAAGGTAGGACCAGTACAAGCTGGACAGGCTGCACCTGGACAGCACTATAACTGCGATCCTAGGGAGTATGTGTCAGTGTGATTGGAAAGGGCTTAAACTAAAATGGCAGGGGGCTGGGAACCAAATGTGAATGCAAATTCCCTTGGATTCTATGGGCTTTTATCCTTGCTATTAGTCTCCAGTGCAGGACCTTATCAAAAAACTTGCTGTTATCTAGGAAAACGGTACCAAAAACATTGCACACTTCTTCAAAACTTTTAATCAAGTTTGTCAGATATGACCGCCCCTTAACAAAACCACGCTGACTATTCGTGGTTAATCCCTGCCTCTCCAAATGCAAGGTCAGAAGTCACATGACACCAGTTTCTCCTGCAATAAGTTTATTTGAAATTGCAAGCTTTTAGAGTGATGCTTCTTTGTAAGGTGAAGTCTCTCCAAATGCAGATTGAATCTGCCCCTCAGAATTTCTTCCAATCTTATCCCACCGATGATATTAGAATGATTGGCCTGGAGTTTCCTGATTCATCCCTTGCTGAGTTCTTGAACAAAGGTACAACACTGGCTAGCCCTGAGTTTACTGGCATCTTTCCAAGTGCAAATTATACTATAGCAATACACTTGTTCTGAATGTAAATGAGAGATGCCTGTACTGAGAAATTTTTCCAGGTTTTTGGTAAAATGTAAAGCAGATATTTGTTTGTATAAATTGTATCCAGAATTATTTTCTTTTTATCAGTGACGTGAATACATTTATTACTATTTATAACAGTTATAACTTATTCACTTACATTGATAACTCGGTTGTTGTCATTAATTGTACAAAAGAAAAGTATGGTTTTGGAAATTATGGCCATTAAGGGCCAGGTTCCACTCACAAACAGGTAGTTTGCTTGTGCATCCACCTCTAGAGAACAAATGGCCCAAATGGCTTCTAATTCTGTGATGGTGGGTGTGGTAGATGGTGGGTCTTCTTTCCCAAACAAATCAGAAGTGTTCACCCTCTGAGGGGAAAAAAAATCCTCATCTAAACGAGCAACGTCATTTTTAAATGATGACTCATAATTCTAGATTCTCCAACTAGAGAAAACATCTTTTCCACCTACACCTGGTCAACTCCCTTCAGGATTCTATGTGCCTCATTAAAGGCATCTCTGACTCTTTTAAGCTGTACGGGATATAGGCCTAGCCTGCCTAGACTTTCCTCCTAAGGCAATCTGCTTATTTCAAGCATTAGTCTAGTAAACCTACTCTGCTTCCAACACATTAGCATAAGTACAGTGCCTAGCACTGTACACATCACTCCATATGCAGTCTTACCAACATCCTGTATATCTGAAGAATAACCTCCCTACTCTTGCATTCAATTCCACTCAGAATAAAACATGACACTCTCAGCTTTCCTGATTACTTGCTAAATCTATAGATTAACCTTCTGTGATTTGTGCACTCGGACGCCCAGGTTTATCTGTGTCTCAGAGCTCTACAACCTCATCATTTAGACAATAATGTATGTATTCCCCTAACTGATGAAAACAGAATAATTTGGCATACAATTTCTACAACAATTTATAATTTACCTAAAACGTGGAAAAACTTCTCAGTCCTGGCATCTCTCATTTACATTCAAAACAAGTGTATTGTTACTGTACAATTTGGATTGGAATGATCATGGAGGACTCGAGGACAGCCAGTGTGGTACCGTTATTAAAAAACTCAAGCAATAAATCAGGAAACTCCAGGCCAGTCATTCTAACTTCAGTGGTGGGGAAATTATTAGAATGATTCTGTCTCTCAGAAATTAATCTGCATTTAGCGAGGCAGGGCTTAACCGAGAACAGTCAGCATGGTTTTGTTGAAGAGTGGTCATGTCTGACAAACTTGATTAAATGTTTCAGGTGTGCAGATGAGAGCGATGTTTCTGATAGTTTTCTTGGACCTCAGCAAGACTTTGGATAAGGTCCTGCGTGGGAGACTAATAGCAAAGGTACAAGTCCATGGGATCCAAGGAAATTTGCCAAATTGCATTCACAGTTGGTTCCCAGCTCCCTGCCATTTTAACCCTCTCTAATCACACTGGTGAATGCTCCCCCTAGGATCTCAATTCCAGTGCTGTCCAGGTGCAGCCTGTCCACCTTGAACTGGCTCCACCTTCTCTCGACCCGGTCCCTGTGTCTCCGGAATCTGAAATACTTCCCTTTGCAACACTCACCAGCCATGTAGTCATTTGATAAATGCTGCTATTTCTATTCTTGACTATCTTTGAGGCATGCTTTATATTTTATGTTCTAACTCCCTATATCCTGCATTGAGGATCTCATCCCTTTTATTACATATGTCGTTGTTATTGATGTGTATCCTGATAACTGACTGCTTACCCTCCAACTCCAGAATGTCCTGAAGCCGCTCTGAGGCAACCTTAACCCTAACACCCAAGAGGTAACATTTCACTCCTGGAGCCTCGCTTGTAGCACCAGAAATATCTAACTATTTTCCTTACAAATCGACCACTTCACCAAATATGATGGCATTCCCACATTTATACTTCTTCTCATGTGCAGCGCAGCTAGCTATGATGCAGCAAATTTGGCTGTTGCTACTTTCTAACAGGATGCTCCCCCCACAATGGTATCCATATACAGTATACTTGTATTGCAGGGGTATGTCTACACGGTTCTCCTGCATTACCTGCCTAGTCATCCTACTCTATATGGTGGTTATCCATTCCTTCTCTGCCTGTGGAGTCTTACTCTGTAGAGTGACCACTTCTCTGTACATGCTTTCCATGAAAGTTTCAGACTGGTGGGTGCCTGACTGTGTCCCCAGCTACTATTCCAGTTTGAAAACATGAGCTCTGGGAGACACCATCTGCACACATTATGATCCTGGGCACTGTCCAAATTTCCACACAGAGCA